TTGTCATGTCTTTTCATTGACCATTATTATTGGATGTGGGAGTCCCCAGAAATCTAGACATACAAGAACTAATAAAAAACATGATATGCTTAAACTTTAAAAAATTCTTATAGGAGGAGGGACTTTGCCATTAATCCTTCTCAAAATACTACTCCTTGCTTCAAAAAACTTGTCCCATTGAAATTTTTGAAGCAGTTCTGGAAGTTCTCTTTTGTGAGTGTCTTTAGTTGTGCTGTTGTGGCTGCCTCTATATTCTGAGTTCATTTAAAACTTTTATAGCAATTTCTGTTAAATAAAAACATTAAGTGTATCTTCATCTATCTTATTCAGAGAATCTGGCATTGTTCAACTTCTGCCTCTTCCTCAAAGTTGAAATGACCATGAAAGGCTAATGCTTTCAATTATAGTCACCCATGGTCCACTGTAGAGGTGCAATCTAATTTCCTCTTGGTAATGAGGATCAGTCACTGGCAGTGTAATATTTTCTATTGGTTCTTCAGCATGAGGATACAGAATTACTAGAGAAGTCACAGTTTCCAATATGAATGAACATTCTTCTGTGTTTACTGGTGGAACTATCTCTCCATTGGGCATCTTTTCAACTCACCTATCTCAAGGTTGTAAGGATGTTATGTGGTAGTGGTCAATAATTGTGTCAACCTGGCAGTTCCAGGCCCTGGGCCGAGTGACTCAGCACAAAAAGAGTATCTAAGGGGGTTGAGAAGGGATTCAGTGTTCCACTTCCTTGGAGGAACTTCAGTCCTTGCAATCAGCTTGGACATCATCTCCTGGCTTCCAGCGCAGACTCTTTGGCCCTGCCTTGGATCCTTCAGGTTTCTGTCACAGATTCTGCAGCCTTCCACTGCAGACTCATCAGCCTTCCAGCCTTTCCATCACAGACCCACTGGGCCAACTAATACAAACTTGCAAAGAACACTGCAGTGAGCTCCAGACATAGGATGGAATCCTTCAGTCTCCGGTGTGCAGACACTCTCTGCACGTTTCCTCATCTAGATTTGCAGCTGATCATCATAAGCCAAGCTTGCAATTTCTTATTCACTTGTACATCTTGTGTTGTATCTGTTCCTTGTATTACATCTGTTCCTCTACTAAAACCCTGATGGATACATATTCAAAACTTTGATAAGTCAATTATATGTAATGGTAGGGAAGTCATTTCCAGTTCCACCTTGGTTCTGATACCAATGTTTTCTGTCTTTAAGAGACATTTACACCACGTATTTGCTTCAGGTACAAAGCACATAGTGTATCTTGAGTGAGGGTTCCAAACTCTCAGGGTGTTGTCTATCAGCTGGTATCCCAACTGTGACCCCAGCTACCATGCCACCTGCTTCTGGGTAAAACTCAGGGAGTGAGCCCACTGCTTCATTCTGTTTTCTGTAGTATTAGTTTCTCTGTTATATGATGTGATGTGTGATACTATGACAGTAGATGATACTTTCTATGGATCCACATGTGGTGTAGTGGAAGCAGGTTGGGCAAGGAAAGCAAAATCTATGGTAAGAATCTTTTCCAATGAGGAAAATTAACAATGGTCTCCGAAGAAGAGATCTGATGTAATTAGCTTTTCTCTGCACAGCCAACAGGGAGGCCAGCTTGTAAATGTCTTATAAAAACTCATGGTGGACTCTGCTACTGGTAAGTTGGAAGTAGTTCTGGAAG